CACTGAAACTTCAGACCTTATGAAGGTGATTCTACCAGCTATCCTGCAGACTGTAAACCAATGTCTTGAAAAAAGAAAATGGATAAATTCAACATAGCATCATGGAATGTAAATGGACTTCACACACAAAAAAAAGTGGAGCTTTTCCTGGATGAACACCAGCCGCAGTAACTAGCGTTGCAGAAAACTGAGTGGGCTGACGGTCACAGGTTCCAGGTTCCAGGTTCCAGGACTATTTTATCTACAGAAAAGACAATCCAAACCCAGGCCAAGGAAGTGTGACTCTCCTTGTAAGAAAAGACGTTACTCATCACCTAGAGGATTAAATAGAAGCGCCATTAGAAAACTTATCAATAAATGCTATCATAAATGGGACCAATACCATAATAACAACAATTTATAAAACACTTAGACACGCAGAAAGTGCTGGAAGGAAACATTACCAACCTACCAAACAACAATACACCAAAAGTGCTAATAGGAGATTTCAACTGCAAATCACCACTCTGGAACAGTACGCATGAATACGTCAACGGTTCAAGACTTGCAAATTTTACAGAAAATCAAGGTGCCTTTGTAGTAGGGCCAACAAGTCCTACTTACTTACCCATTATTCGATAAACACCACAAGTACTAGATATAGTAGTCATGAAAAATATTGCACATGAATCTGAAATTTCTTCAATTGCCTATGGTTTCTCAGACCATAACCCCATCCTGCCGTCATTGGGTGAAGGCCCAAACTGTAGATATGTAGTCAAGAAAACAATCACCAACTAGACTGCATACAAAGCCAGTCTTAAAAGATCCTATCCACTACCAAAACTGAGAACAATCGATAAAAGAGGCAACATTAGCATATACAATGGCCATTAAAAATGCATGTGATGCTAATTCAACGACCAAAAATATCATAAAAAGATCCATATATTTATTGCCAGCTAACTTTCAACAACGTATCAGGGAAAATCGTAGATTGCCTCGAAGATATGCTGCTGCGAAAACCCCTGAAGCAAAGCAGGAGCTAAATAAACACTCCCAAGAACTCAGAATTGAATTGAAAAACTATAGGGATTCAACTTGGAGTAAGAAACTTAGAAGTCTGGAAACATCTGATAATTCTGCATGGCAAATGCAAAAGGCTCTTAGAAGACCAAAGACGGTCATCCCTCCCATTGATGGTCTGAATGGCATAGCATTTTCCGACCCAGAAAAAGCTGAAGCCTTTGCTGATACCCTGGAAAGAGTTTTTACCTTGAATCAAATAGAAAATGAGGAGATGGTCAGAGCGGACGCAACAGCCAGAGAAGTTGACAGAATTGTCAGCTTACCAACTCCTAGAATTTCCACCAATTTTGTCTTCTCAGGGGAAATCAAAGGCCTAGTCAAAAGTCTAAAAATCAAGAAGGCACCTGGAAATGATGGAGTTAAGAACAAGATGGTGAAAGAACTTCCAGCAAGAGCTTTCACAGCGATAGCTTATCTAGCAAATGCGATTCTAAGGAACAACTATTCTCCCAATTCCTGGAAGAAATCGAACATTATAGTACTGAGAAAGCCCGGCAAATATGCCAAGCTCCCAGACAATTATAGACCAATAAGTTTACTCCCGACCAGTAGTAAAATTGTAGAGAAAACCATTAAGAAAAGATTGTGCCAAGAAATAGAAGAATTAGGAATCATCCCTGACTTTCAGTTTGGCTTCATGTCAAAACATTCAGCAGAACAGCAAACCTTACGTATTACGGAAAACGGAAATAATTGTGGAGGGATTCAACAACAAAGCAACTACTGGCGCTGTAATGCTGGACATAGAAAGAGCCTTTGTGGCATGCGCGACTTATTGAAAAGATGGGGAAACTGGAATATATCTTTAAGATTGTGCCATTTTATACACAGTTATCTGGCGAACCGGGAATTTCAAGTCAGAATAGGCTCACAACTCTCATCAATAAGAAGAATTGAGACAGGAGTACCGCAAGGTTCAGTGCTGGGTCCCCTCCTCTATAGTATGTACATAAGTGACCTACCAACTCACCATCGCACGAAAACAGCCTTATTCACGGATGATACTGCCATCTTAATAAGTCATCGTAACACAGCCTTAATCAGCAGAAACACATACATATAAATTTAATTGCAAGATGGTGCTATCTAACTCAATTAAAATAAATATCACAAAAACACAAGCCATTTTTTTTTCAAAAAAGGAGAATGGCCCCAGGACCAAACATCATCATTGGAGGTGAAAGAATTCAATGGAGTGAAAAAGTCAAATATGGACAAAAAACTGACATGGAATTCACACTTGAACACTACCATAATCAAAGCAAGAGCAGGCATTATCCAACTATATCCAATCCCAGGTAGAGGAAGTAATGTGAGCCTTAACGTCAAGATGCCAATCATTAAGGCAGTCACCAGGGCTTAACGGGCTTATGCCTCCAACACGTGGGGTTATGTGTGTAAGAGTCAGATGAAGAGGCTGGCACAAACCGAGAACACGGTAATTCGGATGGCTCCATGGTTCATCATCCACTACTGAGACACATCCTCCATAAAGCAAATAAATTTTACGCAAACTTGGATACTCACCCACATGAAAAACTCCGAAACCTAACGGCCACTTCAAGAAAGGCAGCACTTTAGAATATACCACCACAGGCCCAAGGACTTATCCAGGACCAACTACCACCCGATTAGCGACAGTTATAAATATCAAGAAATGATAAACCAAGAGGCACTCCCTTAAGAAAGCGGAGTAAGAGGTCAAAGACCAAAAAAAAAGAAACCGTGGTTAGTCAGGTTGGAAAACTCGTAATCAGACCAGCGGGGCGTTGCAGGAAGAAGCACTACTAGCATTTCTTCTTGAAATTAACCTATACCAGATAAATAGCTCCTTTCAATAGAGGATGGACATGGAAAAGTCCCGTTGGAAGAACCTAAAACGAAATAGATTACTTCATCACCAACAAACGATAAGTACCTATATATTGTCTAAGAATCAGAAAAGAAGAGAAAATCAGCCAAGAAACTAAAATAAAAATGGAAGAACGAAGACATAAAATAAGTGACCCAAACACGGAACCAGGTGAGATAAGAACATACAATAGGGAAATATCAGAAACCATTAGAACAGACAAAAAAAAAAAGACAAAAATGAACAAATAGTGCGAACCATCGAAGAAAATAAAAGTATGAAAATCATGAAAAGGAAAACCATAAATGTTCTAGTTCAAAGACAGGAACGGTAATATAGTAACAGACAGGGATAAACTATCACGGACTGTAGAAGAGTTTTATACAATATTATATAGATCTCAAACAAACCAAGCCAGAAGAAGAACCATTGCAAAAGGTACAAAACCAAGACTCCAAAGACATACCCAATATTTCTCAAGAATAATTACATCACGCACCCCATGAAATGGAAAATAAAAAGGTTCCTGGAGAGACAACAGAGGCTATAAAACTCGTTGGCCCAATTTTGATTAATAAAATCTTGGAACTCTTCAATTTCTGCTTGTGCAACTAGGATATCCCAAACGTATGGAATAACTCAACAATTACTAATATTTAGAAAGGAAGGTAAAACAAGCCTGGAAAATTACAGACCAATTAGTTTGCTCAACTACCTACTACTAGAATCAAAATTCTCGAGGAGGCTCGTCCAGCAGTGGACGAACCACGGCTAAATGATAATGATGATGATGATCACCAGCCAATATGATGAAAAACGAAGAGTATGTAAAAATAGAAACCTCTTCACAGATATCGAGTTTGGAGAAGGGAAGTTGTTCGACAAAAGAGTGAAGCTAGACTACCATAGAATTGCGTGTAGAGGAATTCCGATAACTGAGACAAAGCATGAAAGAGGTAGATGATATTAACCCATAATTGGACGAAAAACTTTGAAGCAAAAATATCTGAGCGATGGATAACAAAATACATCAAAGAAGCAATAAAATATCACAAAGAACTCTCAAAGGAGGAAAAAAACGCGAAGCCACGATAAAAAAAAATACATGCCTTAAATGTTTAAAACAGAGACTCAGTCATGAAGATGATAGAATAGCAAAACCGCTTCAGCTGTGAAATACCGTTTAAAGCGAGATCCTGACGTGGAGGTACAAATCAATAATCAGAATTTAAATTGAGAAGATGGAGTGGCAGCTGAAATGCTGAAAGAGAGCTCTCTATCAACACTGAATAAAGAGATTATTTAACATAAATAACGTCGAAAAAGAAAGAAGATTAGTTATAAAAAAATCTACATTTGGAAAAAGTTATATAGAGACCCAAATGTGATAAAATCAGCCAAATATTGGAATGAACAACCAAGAATTAGACAATTCAAAAGCTCTCATGGATTCTAAAGAACCAAAAGATTCCACTTCACCTGAGAAGTATTTTGCGAATGAAACACTTAGATAAGAGCGAGATTCATGTTTCAAACAAGTAGCGTCAAAAGTCCACATCTAAAATAAGACACATTCTAAGAAAGAAAGACCACCAGCTTGATAAAGCAAGGGTGAGAAACTTTGTTAATGCGAAGAAACTGTGGTATATAACTGGTATATAAAAACTTCGAATACTCAAATTCGGGTTTGAATTTCCAACAGAACTGTATCATCAAGCTAGCAACTTAAAGATGCTTTCATTCTTTCTGAGAAGATCACTTTGGTAAAAATGAGTCATTATTAATTGTCTATCTCTATCACACCTATAAATACCTGCAGCAAAGATTCATTAAAGTTGACTGAGAGTTTTCTTATTATTGGGTACTACCTAACGAACAAAATTATTATTTCTTTAAAGGCGGATGTATATATATTAGCAGAAAACTGTAACCTCTGTCAACTAATAGGTATATTAATTAAAATCAATTAACCAGAAAAATTGGGCTATCGTCCTATATGTGCGTTAGAAATAGCTAAATTTAACCATCAGAACCAGACATATAAAATACCAGCAAGTACAAAACAACATATTTCACTTACCGATTGCACTTCAGACTAGTCGCGGCGACAGAAATTATTTGCGGCCGCCAAAAATAAACTTTCTAAAACTGGCCAAAAAGTGTCCCAAAAGTCTTTTCGTAACTCCGGAAAATCCGCAAAAATCACCCGAAAAACTATTCTTTCGGTTAATGGCTATTATGAGCCTTAATATTTTATAGGAACCAATAGACGTTTTTCTATTTATTTATTTTTTTTTGGTAGTTTGAGGACTTTCGGAAAGTTAGGGATTCAGGGAACAAAAACAAACGCAAAACCGTTCAGTTCCAGTGCCCACTTTGGACTGGCGTCGCGACGCGAGATTTCGCGCACGGGGATGCTGTGTTCAGGAAGCGTCGCGACGCAAAAGTTTACTTCACATCCTTGTCTAGCTTTCGACCTGCGGAAGAAATGGAGAGTCTCGGGTACGTTGTAGATCATTTTTACCTGAGAAACGTTTGTATGATTTATCCAGGAGTTATTATTATGATTCGCTGGCAATATTTCATGGCTGATCTCTTTCTCTTTCCCTCACGTTCCGGATTTTTGGTACGGTAATCATGTTAATGAAATCAATAAATTTTATCATTATTAACGCGCATCTTTTCTTTTTCACTTTTTCTTTTTTCGTTTTCATTCGTTTCAGTTGAGAAGCTGACATTAATATGAGCACGGAGGATAATGGATGTCATTTAGAATTGTTCACTTACAATTTTAATAAATATGAATTGATGATTAAGATTATTTGAAATTTTAAAAGCAAACTAATTACCTATTTATGTTGGGAAAAAAGATGCTTGTCTGATTTTTCTGCTTCATGGTTTTATAGAAAGGCTTGTTCTTTGCCAACATCTATACCATATCTAAAGAGAACCAAAGCAGCTTTTCAAACTGTTCAAAAGGAAATGGAAGAAATATCGTCAAGGATATATTCCTTTCTGAAGACGTATAAAAATCGGATAAAATATAAGTATATTTAATAGTTAGAGAAGAAACTTAAGTTACACATAAACGCAACTTAAAAGTTATTAGGGAAGATTCTGTGACAAAGCCTCTTGAAGGTGAAGTGGAACATCTTGACCAATTGTGGTGAAGTACCTATGAAAAAAAAATTAAAGATTTTTTCCTTGTTCACACTTTTACACTAAACAGAGGATTCTCTTATCTTCATATTAAGACAACGTGAATCAATAAAGTGTCTTCATAGTCCGTACGAATCTTTCTAAAAAATGGGGAGACCATTCCCTTAAATTCTCTCTAGTAAATGACAGAACTGTCATTTTAGTTGGGCTACTCTTTAACACTTTTACTGCCGGGTGTATCGCTAGCGATACACACGGCCGTTCCTATACAGGCCGCATATGTATCTCTGGCGATACACAGTGGAGTACAATATGGTTTTTTCGTCGGAGTTTCTTTGGGTCCTACGCGTTTATTGCTTTTACAGTAAGAATCAATTCGTCTGGCCTGTGTGAATGCTTTGCTATAGCGAACTTTGGCCTGAGGGAATCAGTAGGGTATTTATATGGCCTGTTAAGGTAAAGCTTTATATTTTAGGGTTATTTATTGGCCTGAGGGGTGCCACATGCATAATCCTCACGACAGTGAAGTGTTAACAGGTGGAACTTATCTTATGTTCTAAGCTTCTCGAATTCAAATCCTCCATTATATTTGACAGTATAGAGTTGACGCGTTTCCAAATAATCAATTTATAACGAAATCTGAATACGGAAAGATAAAATTTCCACATTTTTGAACAAATTGGAGGCTCAGTTACTTTTCTGATGCTAATTTGTGGAAAAAAATACTGAACTTGAAATCAACCAGAAATATAGGTCTCTCAGACCTTCACCACACCTAATTGAAGATTCGTTAGGTAAGTAATGAAAATAGTCTTTAGAGGCTTTAAAGTTCTCAAAGTTCAGTTCTGTGTCCTCAGATTCTTCACCCTCTGTATTGATGTCAAAATTCATGTGTCCCCAAAGTCTTTACATTCTTGAAAATCTGTAGAATAATAATCTCCAAAATGTGTTTCATTTGAATCAAAATTAGACAAGGCCTTTACAAATATTCAATGAGAGCTTTGATTATCATTGAAGTCTTTAGAGTTTCATCGCAGTCTTTAAATATCAGTGTTTTCTATTTATTCTTTACTGTTATTAATCTTCAAAGTCTTGTCATCAATAATTATTCAGTAGTCTCCAGAGAATTAGTTTTCAGACTTTAATTTTGTCAATCTTCAGCTTGGAATGATGGCATAATGTTGATGACCTTGAAGTCTTTAATCTTTGGATTCTGTAGAATATATTAGGAATCTTTAAAATTTGTGTCCTTAAAATCGTTCTTTTTAATCTCAAATCAAAATTAGACATTAGAATTAGAGTCAGAGTTAGACACGGCTTTTAGAATCCTTCAAGTCCTATTGCTTGTGTACAGGGTTATTGGTTATAAATGTCACCCCCCTCTATCTTTTTTATTTGACATTTTAGAAAAAAGTGTCTCAAATAAAAGTTTTATGGTTGAAATTAAATTTTTTGGAAAACTCATTTTCGCATATACACGGTGTTTCAGAAAAGCTGGTCGTGCTCCAAATTTCTTATTTCGATCAAAACATTCGTTAGGAATGGTTTTTCCATTGTTTTAAGCTTGAATTTGATGGTTAAACGCGCATTTCAAGCCAAATTTTCATTTGGAAGTGAAGTTATTCCAGAAAATGCGAAAATAATTCTATCTCACAATAATTTCGGATAATTTACTTTTTTACTAGAGAAACAGTCTAAAAAGCAATTTTAAGAAGAATTTGGGTTGTTTTGCCGTCTTTAATGCGGTTTTCAGTTGACACTAATTTTTAACATCAACTTTGAATTTGATCCATGATTGAAAATTCCAATTAAATTTAATCTTCGGTTAAACAAAGTTGGTGTCAAATGATAACTTGTGAAAATCTTAGAAAAAAATTTAAGATCGGTTTTGCTCAAAAGTTAACCGTTTAGGTTTTAGAGCCTGTCAAATTTACAAAAAAGTCAATTTTCAACTGTCAATATTTCCAAAACAGTTGAACTTAGGTATAGGGTATATCACATGAAATCTGCTCAGAATTTGACGTAGAATCCGAATATTGAATAATATACAGGGTATTCAATTTAAAATGAGAAAGTTGGAGCACGACCAGCTTTTTTGAAACACCCTGTATATGCAAAAGTGAGTTTTTCAAAAAATTTCATTTCAACCATAATTTTTTTATTTGGGACTACATTAAATTAAGATCTTCAATTGTTAATGAAGGACCTATGAAAATATTGAAAGTCCTTAGTCTATTTCCAGTCTTCAATTCCTTAAAGTTTTGTATTTCATCTGTCACTGTTATGTCTGCTGTTGAATCTTCAAAGTGTCTTTAATTCTCTAATCGTCTTTAGAGACTTTGACGTTCTCTCAGTTCAGTTTTGTACCTTTAAGGCCCAGTTGTACAATCTCGGTTTAAAACAAAGTTTAACTGCTATAGAGCATATGCTGCCTTTCTTTGCGGCTGCGACAACAACTATGCAAAATACGCTAGGGTATATCTACAGCAAATAAGACAAGTGGATAAAAATCATGAAGATGTTTATAGTTTTTTAAGTGCTGGTCATTTCACTCTTCGTAGACACACTAGCCCTCTCTAGGGGAATCTTGACCTTGACGTGGTGAGAGGGCTGAGTAACCTTTATCCAGGGAGCGATGTCGGCGGTAGCCTAGCTACCGGCAGGGCCACCCATGCCGATAAGGTCTCGAAGAGGTGAAAGGAAGAAGATTCCCACGTAGCGTCTGATCCAGAGTGGGCGGCTGCAAACAGCGTCTGTTCTCCAGGTTAGAAGCGGCTGATACAAAAACTGACCAAGACGCCTGGCAAGCGTGGTGTTTTAATTGCCAAAACCTTTCAAATATGTCGACTTCAAAACGAAAAAAAGTACCTCAGGTGGGTAGAGGTACCTCACAATCCCACACCGATACCTCGGTCAGCCTCGAGGATTCTGGGGGAGGCACAAGAATGACATCCATAAAGAAAACACAAAATAAAAATGGACCTAGCAAAACTACAACAAATTGCTTATTAAACATTGCAACTTACAACACAAGATCAATCGGAACTAAGGAACGTCTAGTTGAATTAGAGTACGAATTGGAGAAAATAAACTGGGACATTGTAGGACTAGCCGAAACAAGGAGAAAAGTAGAACAATACCTCCATCTGGGCATACTATGCTCTACAGGGGGAAGGATGATGATAACAATGGAGGAGTTGGAATATTAATAAATAAAAAACTATCGACAAACTTGAAAATCCTGAAAACAATATCTGACAGAGTAATATATGTCGTAATCAATATAAATAAAAATATAACGCAAAATATATACAAGCTTATGTTCCAACTTCTTCACATGAAGATGACGAGGTGGAAATGGTATACGAAGACATAGCGAGAGCAATAAGAGAGAACCCAACGACGCACACTATTCTAGGAGGAGACTCTAATGCAAAAATAGGCAGAGGAGCAGAACCAACGGAAACACACATAGGACAGTTCGGACTCGGCACCAGAAATGAAAGGGAAAGAATGTTAGCAAACTTCCTAGAAAGAAAAAGACTCTATCAGATGAACACTTTCTTCCAAAAGAAAGACAAACGTAAATGGACATGGAATAGCCCAGATGGACAAACCAAAAATGAGATTGACTTTATAATCTCCCGCCATAAACAGATAATCCAAGACGTAGATGTAGTCAACCAATTCAACACCGGCAGTGATCACAGGATGGTAAGATGCAAACTGCTCATAAACACAAAAATGGAAAGAAAAAGAAAGATGAAACAAACGACGAAGAGAGGAAGTAGAGAAAAGATAGCTGAAAGAAGGGAAACATACAAACAAAGGCTGAAAGAAAACTTTTCCAACAATCCAGGAAAAACAGAAGAGTCATTAGATGATAACAATAGGAGAATAACAACAATTATAACAGAAACAGCAGAACAGATAATAGGCCCCCTAGAGAAAACGCCGGACAAACTGTCGATAGAAACGAAACAGCTACTAGAGAAAAGGAGAAAACCAAGGGTAAAAGAGACACTATTGAATACACAGAAACCAACAAAACAGCAAGAAAAATGGCAAAACAGGATATACTAAAACATCAAATGAAACAAGTGCAATCCCTATTAGAACAGAACAAAGGACTAAATATATTTAAAAGACATAACACACCTAAGAAAGAGATAACCAAAATAAAAGATGCGAAAAACAACATAG